CATAATGTAGTGGAAAAAATAATGATGACTTCAACTGACAAATAATATGACTTCAACTGACAAATAATATGACTGTTGGAAGTCAGACCTCTCTCTTTTTGATGTCAGGCCATTTCAGTGTTTAGATTGACAAATAAATACAAGCGGGACCTTGTGTATTGATGTTGTATGGTTAAATCAAAAGTAACATGACTGCCATTTGAAATATCATAATATCACGAGTGAAGCCCATTAGTGGTGTCACCCGCTGTGATATTGTTGAAATATTGCTAAAACTCTACTCACTAACTCCAATTTTAGTATCTTGATTATAAGACCCCCCAAATCATTAATTTTCACAATTATGTTACGACACTGACAACATGGCTGTAAGGATTGATTTCAAACACTGGCAGTAATTCGATATCGGTTAATATGACCCAGGACAGAGTTCCTTTAAAACAGTTAATGCACGGTAAAGAGCAACAGAATTTCCATGTCCGTGTTATCAGACTGTTGCTGAACATGGGGAATTTCTCCACATCGTAATGGGGAAAGCATGTTTCCTTCAGTGTTTCTTCACAGTGCTCTGTAAACATGGAGCCCTGTTTTCTGTAGTTTCAAGAACGTGTTCTTTTTGAGAGTTTGGCGACAAATACCGAGGAAGTTATATTTTGGGAAGGTGGAATGGCTTGTTAATATTCCACTGACAGTTTGAAAACTACCTGGATGCGCTCGAGTTGACGGCATGGAGATTTACTGTGTATGATATAGGTAACGTAAGATACTTAGGTCCTTGTGTCAGTAACAGCCGACACACAAGACCATGCAGATGTCTTTGTTTATTGTGCTTTTATATATTGTAAGCATTTCCAGCTGATATGGGGCAGATGTGGTGGCCAAGTGGTTATAGCGTTAGCTCATCATGCTGAAGACCCTGGCTCGATTCCCAAAATGGGTACAATGTGTGAAGCCCATTTCTGGTGTCCACTGCTCTGATATTGCAGAAAAATTGGTTACTGGTATACATCACTCACTCACTCACTCACTCACTCACTCAGTGACTCACTCACTCACTCACTCACTCAGGCAACACACTCGCTCACTCTGATGTAGTCAGATTTTCATCTAAATAGACTGGTCTGTGATGTCCACATTTTCTTACATAAAATATTACCTCATTTATTTTAGAATTATTGAATTGATGCCATTCAAATAAAACATGTCATAAAACAAATTCACCCTCATAAGTATCTGTAGGTGCATCCCAGCTGATTTGTCATGATAATCTTACCTGCAGTGTTGAAAGGGATTCATGAAAAAGAGGGCTATTTTGGTTAATGTTTTGTAAACGTAAGGTGTTTAGAGAGTGACTGAGCAAGTGAAACAGGCTTCCAAGTTAGCCATCTATATCTCATTGGCACGTCATGTATAATCTGGATTATATTTTATACACCAGTACGAGACGAGTGTAAATATCGTCCAATGTCCGCGCTGGGTACAATGACACAATACGTCGGCCAGGTCACAGTGGAAAGTTGTCCACCATAGCCTTGGTCTACAAAGCAGTCTTTACACAACAACTCTTGTAATTCTGTGTTAAGACATAGGACTTGCGACAGTTGTAGCGTTAAGATGGCTTAGTGGCGCCGACTCAGGTGGCTGTGGAACTAAACACAAAAATCATGTTCATTATCAGACAAAGAAGGTGAATCATGCTTATTTTGCTTGTTGTTTAACGCCGCACTCAGCAATATTCCAATATGTAAATAATCAAGTCTGGATCAGACAATCCAGTGGTCAACAGCATGAGCATCGATCTATGCAATTTGGATACGATGACATGTGTCAACCAAGTCAGCGAGCCTGACCACCTGATCCTGTTAGTTGCCTCTTATGACAAGCATGGGTTGCTGAAGACCAATTCTTAACCGGATCAAGCAAATATTCAGGCAAGACTGACTGAGTTTGGTTTTACGCTGCTTTTAGCAATATTCCAGCAACATCACGGCGGATGTTAGGAGTACAAGAAAGGATGTTAGGAGTACTGGGGTATCCCATAAACTGAGTAAATAAACTGAGTAATATATGACCCTATCCCTCATACAAAGCTGACAGTGCTGGAAATGACTTCAAATAGTTTGAATCATTTTGAATTCTGGGACCTGCTGGGACAGTTGGGTAGCCTAGTGGTTAAAGCGTTTGCTTTTCATGCTTGTTCGATTCACAACATGGGCACAATGTGTGAAGCCCATTTCTGGTGCCTCCGACTGTGATATTGTTGGAAGACTGCTAAAAGCGATATAACCCCAAATTCACTCACTCCAAGGAATCTCCCTAAAGATTTCTCGAATTATGACTTATGTGACAACTGATTACCTTGTGAATGTTTTTCCGAAATTAACGATTATTTGACATTGGTCATGTGACTGCTTCATTAGCGTATCTGAAATGAAAAGATATCAACATCCTATGAATAAATCGTGTTGGAAGTAACAGGTTTATTGCACAACAAATAGAAAAGGTGTACACATGATTAAATCCTACATTCCCTAATCAACACAGGAAATGTGAACAAGTATCCTAGATAGTATCTCATAGAAGAGCAGACCCTGATTACAAAGTTTCTAAAAGGTGTAAGTGGCTTTGGAAGTCAAGCAAGGCCCTTGGACCTAATATGTAAACAATGGCAACATTAAGATGCCAAGATAATCACCAGGTACACTGCCTGGCAGGCCATTCCCACATGAGCCCTGCCTGTACCTGGAGTGAAGTCTAACTAGATCTCGAAATACTTGGCAACTGGTCCCATTCTTCTCTCTACCTGTACAAGAGGGTGTGTTTGCAGATAAGCCAGCCTTAGATCACCACAGTAATCTACACTTGCCAGAGCACTAAAATGTTTTATCTGCACTTCTGAAAATACCAGTGGTATTTTTCCTTTTTCCTCGCCCTCACAAGGTGTGGGGGTGAATGAGAACATGGCCCAGGACCAGGCTGATTACAGGCAGGCTATATTTACCACCACCATGGAGTTAATGTAGTGAGCCGGTGCTTGTGTACCTAGTTCTGACGAGAGATAATGTCCAGTATTTGAAGCTCCTGCCCAGAGCATGGATCTCGGTGGCTAAAATATTTATGAAATTCTTCCTAGAAAAAAATAAACTATGATGGATTTGGTTATGAAACAGAGGTAAATTGCATAAATGTTTGTGTCATAAATGCTTATTGTGTTCATTTTTGCGAGCTGTTGAAACAAGTAGAACTTGCTGGATGTTGATGGAGACTCCAAGCAATGTCTGTCTAACGCAACAAGAGTAAGAAATTTAAACATTTGCTGTTTTTAAAAAAATTGTAAAAAATTAACAGCCTAATTATCATTGGAAGTGTAAACATTCTGAACATATGTTTGGCAAGTCATTAGCATAAACTACGACCAACATAATACTTACTGGAGTTTCAAATTGGGAGTAAACGTTTACAAATGACTGTGGAAAGAGTAGTTTTTGGGTTCAGGTATGCCAAAAAGAAGGTTACTGGTGATGACAAGTCATTCAGAGTAGCTGTGTATGCATAACAAACAAGTCGTCTCATTGCTGGAAGCATCTCTATTATTGTCTGTGGAGTGCTGGGATGTGAAATGTGGCTCTTCGCTTTCTTTCAACATTGATATAAAGAATGGTTTCTGTTCCTTGGCAGGCCGATGAAAACACTGATAGCAGGAAATATGGTGTAGATGTTCATGTTTGTTGTGCTAACTTTGCAGTACTGTTGTTGAACTGAAGTTGCCATTTAAAAAGCATCTTCAAATAGTCATGAAAACCTTGATTCTCATCTGCAAGAAACTACAGCCATAAGCCCCTTTCCTGTTTTTGTCTAGGTATTTTTAGCTTATTGAAAATGAGACTGATTTGGCTGTAGCAGGTTAAGATTGTTAGAATAACTTACTGGAGGTGAGATTATTTTTGTTGGAGGTTTGACAGGCATTTTGGCTGCATGTTTTGACATTAATATTGATTATATTGTGGCAACTTTCTTAATTTACTATAATAGCCTGACTTCTTACTGCAAGCATGCAACTTGTTCCAATGATATTTACTTTAAGTATAGCTTTTGCTGAGCTGTGTGGTCTCTCCTTCAACAGTCTAGAGAACTGGGGAAAAAGTCACAATGAATAAACAGTGGAAAGTATGCAAAATTTCTGGGATGCAATCCTAATTAACATTTATAACGACTAGGACTGGAGCTTGCACTTATGCTTATACTGTGATGTTCTCTGAACTAGGGAACAGTTTGCATTTTTCTGAAAATTTCAATATATGTATATGAGCGAAAAGATATATTATAACTCTGTAGGTCGATTTTCAGCTTGTGTTAATAATTATAGGTCAGGTATCCAGTTACCTACAAAAACAATGGGTCCATGGTAGCCAGATAACTGCAGAAACAATAGGTCCAAGGTCCTATTGATAATAGGTTATCAATTACCTGCAAAAATGATGGGTCTTTAGTAACCAGTTACCCGCAAAAATGATGGGTCCTTGGTAAAAAGTTACCCGCAAAAATGATGGGTCCTTGGTAACAAATTACCCACAAAATTGATGGGTCCTTGGTAACAAGTTACCCATAAAATTGATGGGTCCTTGGTAACCAGTTACCCGCAAAAATGATGGGTCCTTGGTAACCAATTACCTGTGCAAGCAATGATTCTATGGTAACCAATTACCTGTGCAAGCAATGGGTCCATAGTAACCAATTACTTGTGCAAGCAATGGGTCCATGGTAACCAATTACTTGTGCAAGCAATGGGTATATGGTAACCAATTAAATGCAAAAATGATGGGTCCATGTTAACAATTACCTGCGAAAACAGTGGGTCCTTGGTGTGAAAAATGTAGGTCCATCCCTTCGGCAGTCTGAAACATGGTAATTTATTTTGTCTTTTTAAGTTTGTTTTTATATGCCGTTTGACGTGTGATATGTTTATTTTGTGAATTCACAGACATTGTGTTTTGTTTCAGGCCCAGCAACTGTGAGGATGGTGTCCAACAATGGGCCACCATTACCCATGCCAATGCAGGTGCCGCCTGGTCACATGGTGCAACAAATAGTTGATGAATACGGAATTTTAACGCATGTCATCCTATCTCCACAACCTCCAGTTCCTGGAAGCCCAATGACGGTCAGTGCCACCTGATTAGAATGTGTTTTTGACTTGCAACACTGTCCTTGAATAATAATCAGCCACTTTTGAGCTCTCGTTTCACTGTTCATGTCAGTGCAGCTTGGTGAAATATGGAATCAGGACGATAAGTACAGATGGATCGAGTCATTCAATGAGATACAATTTGAGTTGGGTATTGATGAAAGGAAAAGGTTTAGATTGAGCAGCAGACGTTGCTTTTGAGGTGTAATGCCACAACAATATCACACCAAACAAGTGTCAAAGATTGTTGCACAACAGACGTTGCTTGGAGGTGTAATGACACAACAATATCACACCAAACAAGTGTCAAAGATTGTTGCACAACAGACGTTGCTTGGAGGTGTATTGACACAACAATATCACACCAAACAAGTGCTTGGAGGTGTATTGACACAACAATATCACACCAAACAAGTGTCAAAGATTGTTGCACAACATATCACACCAAACAAGCGTTGCTTGGAGGTGTAATGACACAACAGTATCACACCAAACAAGTGTCAAAGATTGTTGCACAACAGACGTTGCTTGGAGGTGCAATACACAACAATATCACACCAAACAAGTGTCAAAGATTGTTGCACAGCAGACGTTGCTTGGAGGTGCAATACACAACAATATCACACCAAACAAGTGTCAAAGATTGTTGCACAGCAGACGTTGCTTGGAGGTGTAATGACACAACAGTATCACACCAAACAAGTGTCAAAGATTGTTGCACAGCAGACGTTGCTTGGAGGTGTAATGACACAACAATATCACACGAATAAGTCGGAGTGATTGTACAACAGTTAAAGAACCCATACTCACCAATCACCATAATAGATACACCTTAAAAGAAAGGGTTTGATATAAAATTTGAAGTCAGTGTTTAAAATAAACATGTCGTTCAGGTCCTCTTGTCCCCTGGTGCTGGAAACAAGGACACTTCCTGTGTCTAAATTGTGGTCACGACGGGCAGATTGGTGTCCAAGTTTGTCCTAGTAGTTTAAAACCTGCACTCTTTGTCACCTTACTCAGTACTGTGAGGGGGCAGTGGAGTAGCCTAGTGGTTAAGGCGTTCACTAGTCACGCCGAAGAAACGGGTTCGATTCCCCACATGGGTACAATGTGTTAAGCCCATTTCTGTTGTCCCCCGCAGGATATTGCTGGAATATTGCTAAAAGCGGCGTAAAACCAAACTCACTCACTCACTCAGTATTGTGAGATTAACCTAATTGTCAAGGGCTTGATATTGCCACATATTCTGATGTACAAGGTTAGAACAACGGCAGCAGACCATGGAACATAGTCCCTGTTTAAATCTTCACCATAATGGTTATGACAGTTACCATTTGACTTCATCTTGAACATTGGAAGTGATATCAAACGGCATGTTTGAATGCTTGTTAATCTCAGTGGAAAAAGAGTGTAGAGGCTCCCCCACAGGTAAATAACGTTGGTGGCGTTATGCTGGAACAGCTGCTATACTCAAGATCAATGGCTTGAGTTGACAGCCAATGACTGACTGTCATCCTCAGTATTGTTTGTCCAGGTCAATCACTATCTGCAATAGCTGCAACTACACATAGTACTAGAAGCATTGATTTCTCCCCACGCCTTAGGAGGGGATGGCTCTGGACGTCATAAGCAGGATTGAATGACAGCTCTTTTGAAGTGACGTCACATGCTTTTTCTTCACAAACTCAACATCGATTTTTGACATGTTGTTGGCTTTGAAGAGGTGAAGGTGTCACCTCTGATATTCAGTGATTGTTACAGACTTACTAGTGTGATCAGCTGATGGGACATTTAGAAGAACATAGGAGCTCTGTGATTTACAGGCTTGGAAGGATTTGTCAGTGGTATACAGTATTCTGTAAAGGCTATAGTGCAAGTCTGTAGCAATGCTGAGGGTAGGGGTAGCCTTAGACTAACGCTTAGTCTCTGAATATACTGAATATATCTCATTTTGATAGTAACAAATAAACCCATTTAAGTTGAGAAGGAGCTCCAGTCAGTTGGGAAATTTAGAACCTGAGGAAATCTTGCTTGAAATGACTTGCTTCATTTAAGGCTTTAGCATTTGCAGGGAGGGCTAGGCAGTAGGGGACTGACTGACTGACTGAGTTTGGTTTTACGCCGCTTTTAGCAATATTCCAGCAACATCACGGCGGGGGACACCAGAAATGGGCTTCACACATTGTACCCATGTGGGGATTCGAACCCGGGTCTTCGGGGTGACGAGCCAACACTTTAACCATTAGGCTACCCCACCGCCCCAGGCAGTTAGGGAAATAATGTGGTTCAGGGACTCTGAGACAGACTAGGGTAGCCAATAGGTTAAGCATTCGCTTGTCTCAATGAAAGTCTGGGTTCGATTCCCCACATAAGTACAATGTGTGAAGCCCATTTCTGGTGTCCCCTGCTGTGACATTGATGGAATTTTTCCAAAAGTGGCATAAATCCCAACTCACTCACTGCAGCAAAGTTTCTGTTAATGACAAACAGAACTGTCTGGATATTCCAGAGCAGCTCAAGTATTTTCTGCCTGCTTCTCTAACCACTTGTTAGATCAAACGGCCATGTGAGATTTGGGTATCCTGGGTTATGGCCTGCATATGTTCACTAAACTGAAGCCTTGATGGTCTAAGTTGTATCTTCAGCTTCCACCAACAGCTGGTCATGGTTATGAATCCACATTCAGTCAGACTGTAGAAGCAATACTACATGAGTTTCACCATAGTGGTTAAAAAACATACGACTTGTGGCAGTTTGGGCCTCCCTTCCTCTCTGGCCTGACACCTAAAGTGAAATACTTTCAAAGGTGTTGTGAGACCTCACACCTAATGCATATGAAACACAACTCATTCTAATATATGTGGGGCATGGGGTAGCCTAGTGGTTAAAGCGTTCACTCATCATGACGAAGACCCGGGTTTGATTCCCCACATGGGTACAGTGTGTGAAAGCAATTTCTGGTGTCCCCCGCCATGATATTGCTGGAATATTGCTAAAAGGGATGCAAAACTAAACTCACTCACTCATTCTAATATATGCAATACCAGTGTTAAAATATGCAAAAGAGTTTTTTATGCTAATATTTTAAAATTCAGGGTTCCTGAAAATCAAGTACCAATGGAACTATCATCACGATGATTCTGAACACTTCAATACATATCACAAACAAATTAACCTGAATAGATAGGTTTACGTGATGAATTCTGCCTGAGCATCAAGATCAAGGTCTATTGGCCATCAAGCCTATATTGAAATATTCATGCACATGTGCCTAATTTGCAAAAGGATGCTGTTCCAGCAAGGTATATATGGCAGTTTTGTCATGTTTATCTGTTGCTATTGAATATGCAGGATTCTGATAAAGAATCATTTTCATGTATTTTCGGTTTCATTAGTCTATAAACAATTGTACAATATAGAACAAACTTTATGGATAACAACTTCTTTTTATTCGTGAGTGTGATGTTTCGATACAGATTCTTGTACCATTGTCAAGCATTAATGGAACATGAAGAAGGGGGAAGTATATATATACTGAATGTAACAATGTAACAAAGAAAACAACATAATTAAAATAATTGGCTAGGCAGTAAGCTGATGAAGCCAGAGAGTAGACAAAGGACAGGCGTGGAAGCCAATGATGTACAAATAATAATGAGATGTTTATACGGCAGAGTAAACATTTGCATTTTCATATAAGAGATAAATTTTGATACTTTAGACCTTTTCCAAAATTAGAATATTTAGGTTTTATGAAACCATTTGTGGAGGTTCCTGTATGTCAGTAAGGATTAGAAGTTAGTCTCAGACATTTCTGAGACTTTTTAAACTTCAGGACATTCATGCAACAATTGAGCTCGTGAAGATTTGGCTTAGATTTGGCCTTTGGCAATCAATGTTTGTTGTAGTTGACTAATGGGATCGGATGGTCAGGCTTGCTGACTTGGTTGACACGTCATTGTATCCCAACTGTGTAGATCGATATTCATGATGTTGATCACTGGATTTTCTGGTCCAGACTTGATTATTTACAGACCACTGCCATTCAGCTGGAATATTGCTGAGTGCGGCGTTAAATAACGAACAAACAAAGAACAATGTAGCAGATCATTTTTTCTGGCAAGTGAAAATGAAAAATAATTTCTACGGGAAAGTGTGGTGTGTCAAGAGCTGATTGGTTATGATTAGTAAGTCATGTCTATTTTTCAAAAATGCCACCTGCCATAACTGAACTGATTTCTTTTTTTTTCAGGGAGGACCAAACAGTGCATCCCAGTATTACCCCAACCCATATGGGCCCCACTACACAACCCACCCACAGTACACCACCCACCCACCTCACCACCACCCACATGCGGTCCCCCCTCACATGCATTCTGGAATGCCCCACATACAGACCCCGCCCCAACACAATCACTGTAACACTCATGCACCGGTCCACTCCTCAGGTGAGTACTGACTTTTTAAAAAATATATATGTGTAAGACTCAGAATGATGCATCTGTGTTTTTTGTTGACTTCGAAGTAGGGCTGGCTCAAAAGATCGAAATATTGTCAATGGGAAAAATTAAGCCCCATAAATGTCGTCATTTACCTGTCATGTGAAATAGGTACATTTCTTTCTGACATTTTTGCATTATTGAGATAAACTCAATTCATGAAGTTTAAGCTTAAATTCACCGAATATGCAAGCATATCATATCAGCCCTAGTACCAGCTGGAACTTTGTTACATTTTCCTTTGTTCTTGTAATATTTATACAAAATCAAATTTCTTCGTGATATTGTAAGTTTCAAGACATACCAAAGAGGTGCGTGCTTTGATTCTGAGTCTCACATATTTTGGATGTGGCCGGCAGACAGATATGCTTTAATGGGGCATGAAGTAACTTATTTTAGCTTTGATGCTGTATAAATATAGATAAATATGCTCAGTAACTTAGAACATGTCCAGTGTGTTGCCCCTCACGTTTTGGTAATGAGGTGTTTATGTTGCAAATATGAGGATATTTCAGTTTTATTGTGGTTGAATTTCTTAAAGTTATATAAAGAGCAATAAAATCTTTTCAAATGAACCACATAGATGTCATGTGCTTGGAACCATGCTTCATCATGGTGTCAATTTTTGTAAGACGTCTTTATTCAATTATACATCAGTGACAGATGAAACTGATGGTATTAAATTCTTATTTCTTCCACTTTGTTTTATTATGATGTTCAGTGTCAAAATATTTGCTGTCCATGTTTAATTACACATCTGAAAAACATTTGATTGACAGTAATGGGAGAGTAGCTTGTTTTTGGTTTGTAAAGGGGATGTACTGGGAGTTTTGACAAACACTGACAGCTGACTGTGTTGAAAGGTTGTATATTTCATCACACACCAGCTCCACTTGGAGGAGTGTTATGAAACACTCATGAAACACTGCATGGTTAAGATAAGCTGTAAGCAAGGTTAAAAAAAACTAAGTACAAACATTATAATATAGAAGATTATTTTTATACTTTCACAACAATAAATAAATTTATTTAAATTTTTTTTTTGTTCTAACTTGGATATTCAACTTAAAAAAAAATGAACAAACTTCACTATCTTATGAATTCTGTGCCATTTCATTGACTAAAGAATAAAAGAATTACATGTAATTGCTATAAATTAATGTTTAATGTTTCAGCTTTTAATTATTTTTTTATCAATTTAGGTGGTCATGTGTTGAGAAACACTGGTTACTGTTAGGACATTTTAAACACACAGGGCTGTTTGTTTTGTGTTATTAATAACAATTGTCAACAAGTTCACAGGATCTATTACAATTTCTGATTGTACAGAGATTTAATTTAGTCATTTCATGAGTTTCGGATTATATGCCTCAACACTGTATTGAATAACAAAGAGGCAGTGAGCTCATTGAAAATTCCTGGCTGTGGCTCAACATTGAGGTTGACGTCTCCCATATGGAGCTGTATAAAGAGGAAGCCTCTTACCACATACACAATAACATATGGTAGCCTTAATCTGATATGTTTGCATTCAGTTGATAGAATAAACTACATTTATGCTCCCCTTGACTGTACAGCAACATATATTTATGTTATTTTATCATTTTTGTTGTTATTATGAGGATAAAGTGTTTTGTTGCATGATACAAGGAAGTGATGTGTCAAGGTATGGCTATGGAGTCTGTGCTGACACGTCAGTGACAATACTGGTGTTGTCTGTGGTGAAATATACAAACTAACAGGATTACAGACCTTTCTGTCTGGTAATTTTGCTGCTGTGGGTATACCCCAGCAGACATTGGCGAAATTTATACTTGTCATTTATTGATTGCTCTGATTATTGGAGTGTTAGCCTATCTGTGATAGGTCAGCAACACAAATAGTCTGCTGGTCAGTTGTCTGCAATATATGCAAATTTCTCAAGTGGCTTTTGATGACATTTGTTGAAATCAACATTAATCAATATCATAATGGATGCTGAAGGACCAAGCCCCCCTGTCAATTCACCAGAAGATCGGAACATGCGACAGAGATCAAAAGTAAGAAAGAAACTGGAGCGGAGGAGGACGGACGGCTACTACCAGCAGACGCGCCCACCCACAAGGCGGAGAGGGAACCCTGGGGGTGAGGATCTGTCCATGACATTAATAATAAAGTCATTGTCTTGTAGGTCAAGGCTAATCACAGATCAGGGTTCAATATGCTAGTGAAAGCATTATGAATTATCAGAATATATCTCAACTAATTTCTTGGTTTCTGTTGGGAAACATATCCCATTTTTTGTGCTAAAAGCAGTTGTTTTTTTCCCCCTATATTTTATGTCATCCTTTGTTAAACTCTTCACTTTCAATGCAGTACTTGTTTTTTCAAACATTTAAAGGCCAGAATCACCCTTGGATGGGTGTGCACCATAACTAAATGCTACCCACATCTTGAAAGTTTTCTGTTGAAATGCAAATTAATTTTCATATTCTACAAAAGAAATACATTGTTTTGGACATAATAGTAAAACTGATATTATTTGCTTGATCTGTTGATTGTTATGAGCTGTTAAATGCATCAATTTCTGGTGTCTGTCATGCTAACAAAAATGTGAATAAGGTTATCATGCTGATGAAAATGTGAATCAGATGGTCATAGTTATGAAAATGTGAATCAGGTGGACATGCTGATAAATCTAAAAATAGGTTTGTCATGCTAATTAAGGTCTAAAACAGGTGGTCATGCTGGTGAAAATGTGAATCCGGTGGTCATACTGATATAAATGGTGCTATTTCTGTACGATGGATGGCCACAAGAGCTGACAAACACTTGCCCACACTTGACCTCCTGGCCTTGGCTTGATGAGCTATTTTGATACATAACAACTGTATATTAGAAGTTCATGCCCATACTTACTTGCAACACAATGGCTTGTTTGACTGGCATCCAACTGTGTTCATGGTAGACTTGCTAATAAGATACAATATTAAGTTAGCAGATGCTATCTTGTGACATTACTGTACTCAAGTGATTCAGGATTGAGAATTAAAGTTATAGATTGATACCAATCCATATTGTGTGCCTACATTACGCTGTTTCCGTAATCTCCATTTTTCATCCATTTACCCTGATTTATCTGATTGGCTGCTACCGTAGTACTCGTCTGTCATACAGACCCTGAAACAAACATATCCAAGAAAGCCCATGCAAGTCTAGATTATGTGGCAAGTCTAGATTTCCACAGGAAGTCTCGGGGCTCCTTTTCATTATATTTATATATTTTTTTATTATGAACTGTTTTTTCTGTAAAATATGTTCATTTCCGAGCCTAGTTGTTAGTCTACCGTAATACCTAAATTCATTTCACTTCCGTAATAATGGGGGGCGGTGGGGTAGCCTAGTGGTTAAAGCGTTTGCTCGTCACGCCAAAGACCCGGGTTCGAATCCCCACATGGGTACAATGTGTGAAGCCCATTTCTGGTGTCCCCCACCGTGATGTTACTGGAATATTGCTAAAAGCGGCGTAAAACCAAACTCAATCAGTCAGTCCGTAATAATGAAATCTTTTTCATTATATGTTTTGACATTCCTTGAGGCCTGGGTGTATATCTCCTACTGCTGCATAATTCAGTCTACAGCTGACATGGACTGGCACTTGGTCTCATGAAATGTATTGGCAGTATTGATTGTCCCACCAAGAGGAAGTTGAATTGCACAGAGAGGTCAAGGTCTCTCTCATGTTTAGCACAAAGGATACAATTCATGTAATAACAAACCTTGCCAGGAATTGTTTCACAAACTGATATGTCATTTACAGAAAATTGCACCGGTAGACATTCAAATATCAACTGATGAAACAGGAACACATGACTATTTCCGTGTCAATCTACTTTCTGTTTAGCTTTGTAGAATTACGAAATACAGTATACCTGGATGTTCATATGTTGTTCCTCAATGGACTATCTGGCAGTCTGATTAGACAAGCTTCGATATGTAAGATCTTTTGGGAATTTTAAAAAGACTAAACATGAGGCTCGATTTGAAAGAAATACAGGGAAGTCTTCTGCCAATTTTGCAGTCAGGATTGTGTGTCTCTTACAGGTTAAGCAGTATAGTGATAATTCATTGTGATAACACTGGGAGATTTTGTCTTGGAAATTCCCTTCTGTGTTATGGTTATTTGATAATTCCCTATTTCCCAAACTACTTGACTTGAGACTCATAAGGGGAAGTGAAGGAAATGAAACAATCAGCTGTTTGAGATTGTGTCGCAGAGAGGAACAGTTTTCATTTCTGTTAACGGAGTATATAGATTGCAAGATAAATATTCATTTCTTTTAGCATGTTAATGAGTTCTGACGTGCACACCGTTGCTTGCACATCTTCATTTGCAAGTCAGAAATTCCTGTGGGCAAAGTAAGAAGGGCATAGCCCTCCACTGTGTTGTCTTAATGACTGGTTAGAATAGCTGCTCTTGGCCTCTATTTGAGCTAAGCATCTGTCAATGGATGACGTGATCGTTTTGGTTCCAATGAGTGACTTTGATCTCATTTTGTGTATACCTTAGAGAGCTGATATAAAGTGATGGTTGATCATAAACCTGTCACACAATGTGGAACAGCATCTATTAGATCTACTTCATTACTTTCATTGGCCAGTTTTTATATCGAATGGTATGTGGCATTACAGCCTGAATATTAAATATTATATTTTATGTGTAGGAAACTCTTAGACACAAGTCGGAACAAGTGGGAAAGTTTTGTATGAGAGCAGATGAAAGAGTGACGTTATTTTATAACAGTCTTTGAGCAAATTATTAAAGATTGCTATCGTATGGTTGGAAAATTGCTGGGTGCGGCTTAAACAATAAACAAACCAAATAATGGAACAGTTGCACTTGCAAGATAATAGCTGTTGGGCAAATGTTTAATTTATTACATTTTTTGGCTGGTGACGTAATATTTGAAGTGGTTAACAAGGTTTAGAGTCTGAGGTTTTAGTGATTGCATACTTGACAGTAAATACGTTTTTGTGTAAGGGGTGACAGTGGATTGACATATGCTGAAGGACATACTTGTTTGACTTTTTTATATTTGACAGTGTGGATGGTGCTCACAATATTGATCACTGGCCTGTCCGGTCTTGACTTGATTATTTACTCACTATAGTCTTATGACATATGGCAGAGTGTGGTATTAAATACAACAAATAACCTCTAAAATTGTGGAGCATCGTGATATGACTGACACATTCGCCCCATTCAATCACACACTGTTGTGCCAATAGGTAGCAGCTACACAAGGTTCAAGGACAGTCACAATCTGTAATCTCAACCTTCCTGGCAAAGACACACAACCTCTGATTTTAAAGTCTGAGATATATGGATTTTTTTCAACAATTAATCCATACTTTGTCATTCAACCATTCCTATCATCAAGAAATGAAAACCAGCTAGTTCAGTTGCTATCTATACGGAATTTAAAATATCTTAAGAGGAGTGTTAAAAAACAGGATCTCAGGACTGTTTTTGTGTTGTTCAATGTCGCTATCTCTTGTTTACCGACTGTCTTTGTGAAATCTGTGTCACAGAAATAAGATCCGGCCAATATGTTTCAACAGCTGTTTTGTGTATAAGTTTCTCATGAGTAGACTGTGCTGACTGGTTCTGTTTTATCCTGTATGCTAATCAGTTACGGAGACTCACTATCTGTCCGCCCTAGTAATGCTTTAGATGGCACTATATCAGACCAAATTATTCAGTGTCATTCGGTAATTATTCCTGACATCCATTAAACCAAGATTGACCATATAATTTCTTTTCTGCTAATTTCTCTTTCACAAATTACCGGTATGTGAGTTTTGAGAGATTCTTACATGGGCGTATGGGAAATGCCAGCTGTTTTTCTTATGGAATTCTCACATTACCTGATGTTTCAAGTTGAGATATTTTTTGAGGACATTTTTCTCATCTACACATTCTTTAGCGATGAAATAGGATATCCCTGTTTTCAATTCTAACATTACAGCTTTCAGATTTAATGTTTCATAATGGTTTCTACTGTACACAACGAGACACGATTATCCGGCAACTGGCCTATTTTCTTTGTGGAGCACATATTGAAACTTGCTGACTACGGGAAATTTAAGCTCTGCTTTGCTTATGTGTCTTCATGTTATTCAAGTCATGCAGTTTGTGTGATGTGAAGCAAGGACATACTTCTGGAAAGTGTTAAAGGAAATAATTAGAAGATTACAAATATATACGTATATGCTGGGGTAAAGAGTTTCCAACCGTTGAATCTCCCAAGCACTCTATCACAACCCACAAAAGAAAATGTACAAATATGTTTCATGGTACTTGTATGTTGAATTATTTACAAGTTGCCATTAGTGAGCCTGATTTTTATTATATCATTCGCAAATCAGCTACAAAAATGTCAGGAATCTTTGGGTTATATCCACAAGAGTCTAGTAATTTGACTTCCTCCTCATTACTTTGTAGTGTTATGCGGTGAAGATTTCACCTAATTACACTCTTAGTGGCACTACCCGCCTCCGTGGTGTAGTGGTTAGGCGTCCGCCCGGAGAGCAGAAGGTCGCGGGTTCGATCCCCGACTGCGTCATACCAAAAGACGTTAAAATATGGTACTTGTTGGTCCCTGCCTGGCGCTTGGCATTAATGGGTACAACAAGGACTGGTCGGCTCGGAGTCAGTATAATTTGTCTGAGTGGGGTATTCATGTTTCACTGCGGCATGGTATCTCAGTGGGCTAGCACTATAAAACCAGCTTAAGTCTGGGCTAGTACTAGCAGCCGCGCATACACATACACACGCATGCACGTCGTCATATGAGCGAAATATTCTCAAGCACGACGCTAAACCCAATTTCACCTCACCTCACCTTAGTGGCACTTTGTCAGTGGCTGTATAGGGCGGTGGGGTAGCCTTGTGGTTAAAGTGTTCGCTCATCATCCCAAACAACAGGGTCCCCATCCACAAAACTCTTGTATCTCTACTACATCATAAGCCTGTAATAACCTCTAGAGTTATGACAGGTCGTAACGTTATGAATGTTTTATGATCGGTACCCTGGTTTCATTCCCGGTTGGGTTCAATGTGTTAAGCCTGTTTCTGGTGTCCCCTGTCGTGATGTTGCTGAAATATCCCTCAAAGCTGCCTAAAACCATACTCACTCAGTGGCCATATTGGAGGATCATAAGTCAGTATACTGGAACTTTGTGATCAGGCTGCTTTTACTGTATGCACAGTTATTGTGTTAGAAACTGTTCATATATTCCCAAGTAAGTTTGTTATGGTTATAGGATCCATAAGACTATATTTGGATTCATTAGAATGTTTCCGTTTTTAACTGAAGGACTCATTACAGCTAAAAATGTTTTTATGGCTGTTACATCCTATTTCTTTTCTTGTTTTTTTGCAAAAGAATATGGATGAATATATCAAATATGTAATAATATTTTCTTGCAAATGAGACGGAATCAACTCTGCACACAAATGTAGGTTAAAAATTTGTGTAACTTATGGCTTTGTTTGGTTCTAAGTGCCTTTTGCTGAGGAACTGTCTGTGACATTAAACAAGTCGAATGCTGTGATTGATCTCAGCAGTTGTACAGTTAATTTTTCAGTGCTTGCTTTGACTGAAATAGTGTATCACATTATTCATTCAAGTTGAAAATGTTGACAATATGTTCTGTCTGTTGTTTCAGTGAACGGAGAGGTCCATACAAGCAACAGCGTGTCTAACATGTCCACGTCAGAAAATGGACCCACAGAATCCGAGGAAGATAATTCCTTAGTTATACAGAGTCTCTCAAATATGTCCCCTCCTAAGGTAACGTGATATGTTGCTATTGTCACACTACTATCAATGATTTCTTAACAAGAAGGTTTTATGTTGGCTTTTAGATCAGTTATGAGTGATCGAAATTAAGGGATTCCTGGGACCTTTGACATCTGCATGATGTGACTCGAGGGATCCTCAGTCCTTTTTTTATGTCAGGGTTATGACAACAATCTTAATTTAAACACTGACACAACAGGAAGTCAACTGACTCTCATGATACATAATAGAGGTGTGACGATACAGAAATTTCATGATACGATACGTATCGCGATATCTTAAAACGATACGATTCGATTCGATGCATATCATAATATGCTATCTTTAGTTATTTCCTTTAAAAAAAAGTTTATTTTGATAGCAAGTAACAGTGTAAATTTTGACATACCTGTCAATTTCTAGTGAAAAGTAGTAATTCTAACGTCAACGATACATATCACGATGCGAAACAAGTATTGATATATTTATCATCAGATAAAGTGCCACGATTATCGATACTACGATACACAGTTCTAATACATAACATAAACAAAAACATACTGACACTTGGATACCGATAGAAATAGAATAGAGATTTTGTGTTTGTATTAGATTAGAATAGAATCTTGCATTAGTGCATTCTCTATTATTTAGATTCATTTGACCATATTACAGCACATAACTCAACCATTACCACAAGACTGCCACAAATTTGTAACTCTACGTTAATCGACCCGTGAAGGTCCGGGTTAGAATGAACCTTCATTAACCCATGCTTGTCGTAAGAGGCGACGAACGGGATCGGGTGGTCAGGCTCGCTGACTTGGTTGACACATGTCATCGGTTCCTAATTGCGCAGGTCAATGCTCATGCTGTTGATCACTGGATTCTCTGGTCCAGACTCGATTATTTACAGATTGCTGCCATATAGCTGGAACATTGCTGAGTGCAGCGTAAAACTAAACTCACTTACTCACTCACTCTACGTTAATCAACATGTCTGTTTAGTTGTTGAGCCAATGATTACATCGGGAATGTCTTCAAGTCTCCTCTTTCTTTTATTCCAGGTGACCGATATTGAGGCGAGAAGTGCCTTGATACAAATATCCCCCCCAGATGTAGAAAGTAGTGACATTGAGCTTGACCAGTCCGATTTTAAATATGAATTGCTCCTCTCCGACAAGGGCCGTGATACAAAATACAAACCTGTCTATAAGTAAGTATTGTGTGACTGCTTGCTATCAAAACCTGTCTATCCTTTGTACACGTACTGATAAAGTGTACACATGTCATATTATCCCAATTACGTAGATCGCTGCTCATGCTGTTGTTCACTGGATTGTCTGGTCCAGACTCAATTTTTTACAGACTGCCACCATACAGTTAGGATATAGCTGAGTGCGGCTTAAAACTAAGCTCACAAACTAGATAAGATTGTTCATTGGCTGCTGAAATACAACACAGGTGTGATTGCTTCGGTGGTATCAGAAATCTTGGCTTATAGTTTAAATGCTCAAAGATTTTCGCACTTTTTTTGTTGATTTTTGTCTCAAATGTTCTTTCTGACAGGAAATATGTATTACATGATGGTTTTCCAATGTCTATATATTATATCTACGTTGTTTTGGCTCAACCGCAGAATTTGTTCACCATACCAAGTTGTTTTGCATTCATTAACAAACTATTAGTGTCTCAGCTCCCTACTCAGCAGTATATATTCCAAGCCTGTAAACATTCAAATCTGGAACGGACAATCCAGTTATCTTGAGCTTCCAGACAACTGGAATGTAACATGCTTATAAGGGGTCAGGGGATCTGACCACCTGATCCTGTTGTCTCATACGACATCAAGGGTCAAGGTCGCTGTAACAAGCATTAGATTTTCTATTTTAGTCATGCGTTTGTACCATGAGGTGGATTTTTTGTTTTAATGAAAGAGAGCCGTGGATTATTGGGTCTGTTGTTTGTTTCAGGGGAGATGCCACTGAAATAACATTAAAAGATCTGAAACCTGCAACGGAGTATCACTTACGGGTTTGTACTATACTCCATGATGACCTCAAAGGTAACCAGACTGACAGCGTCAGCTTCCGAACAGCGTTCTGTGAACCGGAGGCTCCTCAACCGCCAAAACTTGTGTCAAAGACGAGAAATAATATACAGCTGAAGTGGGCTGTAAGTATGATGATAGAAATCTACACAAACATAAGAGCTCCAAAGAACATGATGTAAAAATGCCACTGTGCTTTTGGCCTCATGGCCACTCTACGAAATAAATCTGTCTGTCTGTCTACACGAACATAAGTGCATGCATGCGTATTTGTTGTGTATCTGACTTGTAGATGTTTGTTGATGAACGACCTCGCAGGACGACTGATAAACAGTATAAAACAGTGTGATACTCAGATGAAAATAGCAGCCGATTTCTGCGGATTTAAAAGCAGCTTAGTCAGCATGAACATATCTTTTAATCTCTTACTCGGCCTTGGACCTTCAATATTTTACTTCCTGATTGTTAATTGGGTAGAAAATTTGCATTCTCTTTTAAATAGATTTTGCAGGATCAGAGGTGTGTTTACTGAAAATTAATTGACATATGCTCTAAATGATGTCTTTTAATTTAATGTTTAATTTAATATTTTGTGTTTTTGACTTCTTGAAAATAATGTGATTAAAAAAATTCCTTGTTTTTGGTTTAATAAGTTACAGAGATAATGAAATCAAAATTAAGTTTTATTCATGATGTTATGTATCATCGACATTCATGAAACATGTCACAATATGCTTGCTTGAAATGCAGGCAAGGCTGCTACAATAATAACTTTATTTATTCAACAGGCCACCTGTGAAAATGGATCAAAGATATCAACATACACACTAGAGTATGATCAGGTATGTGAGCGAGTGATGATCTCTCCTACAGTGAAACCCGAATGATGATCTCACTCCTATTGTGAAATTCAAGTGATGATGTCACTCATACTTCTGCACAGACTAACATTATCAAATTTCAGATTCATGTATTTGTGGACAGATGCCCAGATATAAATTTCTTAAATGTGAATGTCGAGAAGATATATGAATAGACTGACAAGGCAAGAAAATATTATACGAATTGGTTTTAAATATTAGGATCATTGTTTCATTTCTGTCTCTGTTTTTTAGGGTAATCGGGATGGGAATTTTGTTGAGATCTACAATGGTCTTCAACGCCAATATCGTGCGAATAAACTTCAAGCTTCCACAAGGTACACATTTAGGCTTGCGGCAATCAACAGCATAGGGAAGAGGTAAGTCTGGCATGTCCTTGTACCATACATTATTCAGTCTACCAGTGAAGATCCAGGGTAGAATAGCTCTTCAACAACTCAACCCATGAAGATGGGTTGAACTGATCTTATTGTTAGAGATGACTAATGGGACCGGGTGGTCAGACTCACTGACTTGGTTGACACATATCACTTGCGTAGATTGCTGCTGATTCTGTTGAATGAGACCGCCTCCGTGGTGTAGTGGTTAGAGCGTCCGCCCGGGGAGCGGAAGGTCGCGGGTTCGATCCCCGACCGCGTCATACCAAAAGACGTTAAAATATGGTACTTGTTGGTCCCTGCCTGGCGCTCGGCATTAATGGGTACAACAAGGACTGGTCGGCTCGGAGTCGGTATAATGTGTCTGAGTGGGGTATTCATGCTTCACTGCGGCATGGTATCTCAGTGGGCTAGCACTATAAAACCAGCTAAAGTCTGGGCTAGTACAAGCAGCCGCACATACACATACACACGCATGCATGTCGTCATATGAGCCAAATTTTCTCAAGCACGACGTTAAACCCAATTTCACCTCACCTCACCTGTTGAATGATTTCCTGAATGTTAGTTTCCAAGCTATGTCACTGAATGATAAGACACATTAACACAGGCGTTAAGAGACAGGACATGTTAACATGCTGTTGTAACAGCCACTCAAGATCTTGAATTGTTTTTGTAGAAATGAGAAAATTCATTCAAATAATTTGTGTTTTTGTTCAACAGGAAATTTGCTAGAGACATTTGGAAAATCTTTTGATGTTCTTAATTAAATTGATAAAACAACCTGAAACCCTTGTCATAAAGTTATTGTCAGTGTTTCTTGAGAAGATATCAGGGATGTCAAATTCATAAAATTGATAAATTCGGCTATCTGGTCCCATTTGTCATGTGTTGTTAATACACGTTCAGCCAATCAGCCAATCAGCCAATCAGCAGGAGAGCCAAGATACCGGATGCTGGTTTAGAGAGCGGAAATTACTGTACAAACAGTCAATTGGGCGGTCTTTGTTGTGCCGAAATACGGAATAAATTGACGCTGGATTGGAGGGCGTGTAAATGATCATAATTTTAGTGCCGATATTGAGAGCATGCCGGATTTGAGGGCTGCCGGTTTTGAGGGCTGCCGGTTTTGAGAGCTTCCACTGTAGTTGAACAATGCTAAGCAGCATTTAAAACAAGCATGAGCTAATAATTTGTTATTAATCGGTGGCCTGTAATATGACATGTATTTGCAGCCCGTTCAGCGAGCCTGTGAGCTTCTACACGAGTGGGAGCATACCATCCCAGCCTGACCCTCCGATGTTGTCCGAACCCTTCGTCTATGCTCTCACAGTGTCATGGATCAAGAGGCCAAATGATGATGAGTTTTTATTACAAATGGAAGATGAAGCTACGGTAAGAACAATAATCATCATCAGTTAAAATTCATTGTTTCAAATTAATAATTAACCTCAGTGTATCATAACCCAAATTATTCACAGAATAATAGATGTCAAGGACATATTTCTAACAATAAATCAGAACTGTTTTATGTACACCAATTCATTCAAACAAAATTCAAGTGACATTGAACTTCCTGGTTCAGCTGTTTGTAAGTGCATTGATCTTTTCTATTTCCCTATGTAGAATTTAATGAATGAATGTTTTCTTTCAGGGTCATGGTTTTTTGCCTGCATACAATGGTCCAAACCTTTCATGTACAATAAAGAATCTTAGACGGAATACTGAGTACAAATTCAAGGTGAGTCTTGTTAAAAGTATTTTACCTGTCTATATCTGATCACATGTATTATATGACAACTGGTGCTGGAAGTATTCCGTTAATGTTATTTGGTAAGTTGGACTGTTGCATTCAAGATAAACTGCTGTGTAGTTGCTGATAAAGATATGGGAACTGTTCCACCTAGCAATCATAGTGTCAAAATGAATAATAATATAATAATAATAATAATTGATTTGTTTAGCGCCTTCGTTCTAACTTTTGCTACTCATTGGCGCTAAATGCAACTCCCATACTTTAGCATTGACTTACATCAGTTGTACTTAAAGGATGGTTTCATTGAATGATTCATATATAACCTACACATAAGTGACATGAAAATTTTAGAGCGAGTGAGGATGATTTTACACCATTTTTAGCCATATTCCAGCAATATCATGGCACTGGACACCAGAATGGGCTGCACACATTTAACTGTGTAGGGAATCAAACCAGAGACTTTGGCGCAACGAGCAAATGCTCTAACCACTGTCCCACTGCCTGAAACATTTGGAGGTGTCCCTAAAGTGTTTTCTATGTAGAAATGACACAACTAGGCCTGATGAAATATTGAAGAATCATGACATCTGTGGAATGTAATTTGGATGGAGAGTCAATGCGTGTGTTTTCTGTTTACAGCTAGCTGCCAAAAATGATGAAGGTCAAAGCAAGTGGAGTGATATAGTGGCCCATAGGACACTGCCGGAGCGCCCCCACTGCTCCACCCAAACCACAGATCAAAGGAAAGATATTTGCTCACAACTTCAGGGTCATATGGGGTAAGTTTGCTCACTGTATAAGATGGCTGTCACAGTAGGAAAATAAGGGATCTCTTCTTGTATTGTCAGAGAAATCGGCTCACTGCTTAGGTTTTGAATCCAAATTTCTGTGAGTTTTATTCATACTTTGTGATATGCTGAGTCCTCAATCTTAGGTGACCCGTGAAGGTCTGGGTTAGAATGAGCCTTCAGTAACCCATGCTTGTCGTAAGAGGCGACTAACGGGGCCGGGTGGTCAGGCTTGCTGGCTTGGTTGACACATGTCATCGGTTCCCCATTGCGCAGATCGATGCTCATTCTGTTGATCACTGGATTGTCTGGTCCAGACTTGATTATTTAAAGACTGCCCCCGTATAGCTGGAACATTGCTGACTGCGGCGTAAAACTAAACTCACTCACTCACTCAATCTTAGGTGTGAATGACCCGCGAAGATCCGGGTTAGTATTGCTCTTCAGCAAACCATGCTTGTTGCAAGAGGTTACTAACAGGATTATGTGGTCAGGCTTGCTGACTTGCCTCATCTTATCCCAATTGTGTAGATGTATGCTCATGATGATCTTGATCATGTTGCACATTGTAGCCGTTAATAATCACTCTAATCATAGGTAGACATTGTTTCACATATTTTAATGATAAAAACGATGTCCTTGAGTGGATATGATTGCCAGATTGTGGGTCATTGTCTCCCTGTTGAGTAAGTTTGGTATGATGGCCAGTGTTGAACACATCCCCTACTGTCTGTTGTTTGAAAGATTGGTTTCTCATTGTTCCAGATCCACCTGCTGACTCAGGAGGTTCAGAAATCACCAAGTTTGTTCTTGAACTTGATGATGGAGAAGGTACGTGTCACAGCCTAGTTGAAGCATGCATGCCTTTATTCTGGCAACAATTCAGTAATAAATTTCACTTCATGCACTTCAGGGTCACTTAGTAAGACTTGGGGCAGGACCACTTTCCCCACGGGGATACAAACCCTTTCAGGGATAATAGAACATATAACCCATTTATCCAAAATATCAATACTTTTCTCATTTAATCCCATAACTGCATGCTTTCTCAGATTGATTGTGCTGTTCATCAGCAATTAATGATTTATGTTTGTTGGAGTATGAGGAATGCCTTTTATGCATGAAATATTTATGCATTCAGCTACATCCCTCACTGTGATTCAGCCCAACTGAAACATATGCATTGGATAAAAAAGGAAATGTTTTTCACAAATTACTAATTTTTTCGATGCACTTTTGCGTTGCTTACTATAAGGAGGAGGTAATGTGTTGATGGTGCATGGCTCCCCGATGCAGTGTTTGTGTTCACCATGTGTCCATGCTGTCTTGTCCCACAATATATTGGCTGCGTTAAGGCGGCCTGTAAAAACTGAGGCCAGACAAACCTGTGATATACAATGATCTGTGCCATCCAGGCACAGTGACTCACTGATGGCATTGGTCTTGTTCCACGAACACTTCTTGCACTACGATTGTCTTAAGCCGATGCTAAAGTGTTTGAGTTACGATCCCCTTAGAGCCGACTGTTTTGTGGAAAGGGATCTGGGTGCCGTTGTTCAAAGTGACCTTAGGGCTAAGGTGACACCCATACCTTAACATAGACTTCCGACTGGAGTAGCGCTAAGATTGCTTTGTACAACAGCACCCTGGGCTGCTTATCGTAACCCCTCTATCATAGATGGGGCACTGAGAGTCTTACCTGATTGGCTTACTGACATGCATACAGATATATTCAGCTACATGTATAGAGCTGTATTGAGATCTTCAGTTCATCTTCATAGCCTATGGGGGCGGTGGGGTAGCCTAATGGTTAAAGCGTTGGCTCGTCACGCCGGAGACCTGGGTTCAAATCCCCACATGGGTACAATGTGTGCAGCCCATTTCTGGTGTCCCCCACCGTGATGTTGCTGGAATATTGCTAAAAGCGACGTAAAACCAAACTCAGTCAGTCAGTCAGTCATAGCCTATGATGAGTGAGGTTAGTGATTTAAAGAATCTGTCTTCCTCTATTTTCATCTAATGTATTATTTTACAATTCTGTTTTGATAAATACCCAGGCCTCATTCATCCCTAGTTTCTTTCTAAAGTTATTATCATCGTATCTCTATCAACCCATGAAGATGCGGGTTAGAATTGGCCTTTAGCAACACATGCTTGTCGTATGAGACAAGTGACAGTGATGTGTGGTCAGGCTCGCTGACTTGGTTGATATCAATTGTGTTAGATCGATGCTTATGATGTCAATCACTGGATTGTCTGGCTCATTTATTTACAGACTGCTACCATATAACTTGAACATTGCTGAGTGCAGTATTAAACAAGAAGAACAATCTTGTTTCTATCCGAGCACTGGGCTTATCTAGCTTATGAGAGTAATTTAGATTGGATAGCGATTTTTAACACCACTCCACTGAATCGGGCTGAAAACATAGCTCAGTTTGTGAATGGCCAAGGGTGTTTATCAACACCGGATAATGATGCCATGCAGGGATCATCATGGGTGAGAATCTGCAAGATATCTATATGCTTTAGGCGCCATGGAGGAGAGTATTATGCATGAAGTATATGAGTTTGTCCTTGGTGTATCCATCCTTTGTACTGTGACTGTAGTATATATAACCCTCCTCACCCATTATTCCCCATCGCCTTTGTTTAACATTACAAACATCGACTGTTGTCAGCCTACTGTAAATGCTCGTAACAGACTGGAATCTCTCATAAACAGTTCAGTAAATATTTGTATACATTAAGAACATCTTATCAGACTTATTATTAAGGGTAATTCAAGTTTGTTGAAAAGTTGTAACATGACTTTGTTGAATTTTCTTATAAATATTTGAAGCTATCTGAATTATGATGTGTCGTTACTTGTGTTAGGGGCGATGGGGGTAGCCTAGTGGTTAAAGCGTTCGCTAGTCACGTCGAAAACCCAGGTTTGATTCCACACATGGGTACAATATGTGAAGCCCATTTCTGGTGTCCCCCCTGCCATGATATTACTGGAATATTGCTAAAAGTGGCGTAAAACCTCTCTCACTACTTCTGTTAGACACTGGTTTGATGGTAGTTTGTTGTTTCAGGTTATGACATAGTCTACGAGGGGTCAGAGAGGGAGCAGATGTTTGACCACCTCGTCCCTGGCCACACATATCGCGTGAGGGTTGCATGCTACAGTTTAGGGGGTAGGAGTGAGGTAAGTTTGAATTTTTGGTAAGGTACTCTTGATATGTATAATTTGGTCTCGTTCTTGAGATGGAATACGATACAGACGGTTGTAAATTTCCTTAAGAATTGTCAGATATTTATGAATGTATATCATATATTATATTTAGAAATAGATTGACAGAAAGTGACAGCAAATTTTTGTAAAATAATTGTAATTTTGTTGAATGTTCTTATTGCCATTTGAAAATAATATATATGAAAACTACAAAATATTAGAAAATTTACTAAATTTATTAAAAATGATTTTGTTTTATTTCAGTTTTCCGACTGTTGTGTAGCAATAACACAACCAATATGTCCTGGACAGTGTCACCCTCCCAAACTGCAGGGCAAACCTAAAGCAACATCCTTGCATCTCCGATGGAGTAAGTCAGGGACACGTTATATTCTCCTCATGATATCAGTAATGTAACTGGCTAGCTTATCTCTCTACCAACCTTTGTTTAGGACCGCCTCCATGGTGTAGTGGTTAGAGCGTCCGCCTGGAGAGCGGAAGGTCGCGGGTTCGATCCCTGACCGCGTTATACCAAAAGTCGTTAAAATATGGTACTTGTTGGTCCCTGCCTGGCGCTCGGCATTAATGGGTACAACAAGGACTGGTCGGCTCGGAGTCAGTATAATGTGTCTGAGTGGGGTATTCATGCTTCACTGCGGCATGGTATCTCAGTGGGCTAGCACTATAAAACCAGCTTCAGTCTGGGCTAGTACGAGCAGCCGCCCGTACACATACACATGCATGCACGTCGTCATATGAGTGAAATATTCTCAAGCACAACGTTAAACCTAATTTCACCTTACCTCAACTCATACGACCTGGATGCTGATTGCACCTATCTCTGTTTGAAGGTTATCCTAGCTATGATGGTGGCTCCTCTGTGACGTCCTACGCAGCTCAAATGATCACACCCGGATAACACCACGAGGGAGGTGTACCGGGGACATGATTTAGACTGCATCGTGGCAGGGTTGTCCCCAGGAAGACCATATCTCTTTCAAGTCAGAGCTTTCAATAGGGCAGGGGTAAGTTATTCATGCAGTCTTATAGTGGTATCACCCATGAAGATCTGGGTTAGAATTGATCTTCAGTAATTCATGCTTGTCGTAAGAGGCGACTAACGGGATTGGGTGGTCAGACTCGCTGACGGGGTTGACACATGTCATGGTATCCCAGTTGCGTAGATCTATGCTCATGCTGTTGATCACTGGATTGTCTGGTTCAGACTCGATTTTTTACAGACTGCTGCCATGTAGGTGGAATATTGCTGAGTGCGGCGTAAAACTATACTCACTCACTCACAGTGGTATCAGACATCAGCTGGATTATCAAAACTAATTTGTGGTTAGACCAAACATCTTATTCCTTGGTTTGAAGGGTAGTAGGGTAGCTTAGTGGTTAAAGCATTCACTTGTCAAGCAACAGTCCTGGGGTCGATTCCTGACATGGTTACAATGTGTGGATCCCATTTCTAGTGTCCCGTCATGTGACATTGCTGGAATATTGCTAACAGTGTAAAACCAAGCTCACTTACCGGTACTAGTTTGCTTGGATTGTACAAGTGGTGTGTGATAATTGGTGACATGTTATTTTCAGGGTGGGCCATGGTCAGACCCCTTGGAAGTGGTGAGTGGCGCGGGAGTCCCCGACCCGCCCAAGGCACCCCAGGTGAACTGTCGCTCACCACATAGTGCAATAATCTCGTGGGAAGAGCCCTTCAACAACGGTGCTATGATTTCAGAGTATAGACTTGAGTGGCAGCAGCGGGCTGACAACAATGAGTTCTCTCAGGTATAGTAGTGTGTCACTAAAATCACGCACAGGAAAATCATAGTTTATTTTGTCTGGATGGGGAAAGGGAGCAGAAAAAGTCCCTGCTACCCACAGATGCAGCATTAGTTTTTGATCCCCATGTTGAATACTGACACCCCTAAAATGCCTCAAATTCGGGTACGGGAATATAACTTTGAAAGTCGCAGTGCTGAGTGGTTACATTCCTGACTTTATGTGCTGGCAATTCAGTGGCTAATTCGCAAAGTGTGGGTTCAAATCTCGGATGGGACTAAACCTAAAAGTTCTAGGATCTTCTTTGCTGAGAAATATATCCCAAATCCCAAATATTACATGTTACATTTGATCACAATCTTAATGCCATTGTCTATTCATTGTAATGGAATACTTATCACATTGGACAAACAGGCTTTAGGAGTAGTCGCCAGTACCCTGTGTAGTTTGGAAGTGCTAACGAACATGAAAGTCACGAGTACAACGTGTAGGACTAACATCTTGTGTGTCACTATACACTCTTGGTGTTCCACGATCCCCGACCGCGTCATACCAAAAGACGGTAAAATGTGGTACTTGTTGGTCCCTGCCTGGCGCTCGGCATTAATGGGTACAACAAGGACTGGTCGGCTCGGAGTCAGTATAATGTGTCTGAGTGGGATATTCATGCTTCACTGCGGCATGGTATCTCAGTGGGCTAGCACTATAAAACCAGCTTCAGTCTGGGCTAGTACTAGGAGCCGCGCATACACATACACATGCATGCACGTCGTCATATGAGCGAAATATTCTCAAGCACAACGTTAAACCCATTTTCACCTCACCTCATCTTGGTGTTCCACCGTGAGTAGGTTCCCAGTATTCCATGCTTGTCCTCCTGCAAAAGATGAGGATCTGTGGGTTGCACCACGTCACATGTATATCACTGTTCCAAGACAATAAGCAATACACTTGCCCCTCTCTTGTCAGACTGAAATTGTCCATCCTGGCCATGGGGAATATGTGAGGCCATTACGGGAAAATAATGATCTGCTGAAACAATGCTCACGACACACCCTCCTTCCAAATGAGTTAATGTTTGTTCATTACTTCTTTTGCCTGGATCATACTTGATTATTTAGACTTAATACAACATAATAGATATATTCTTTTCCTTCTTTACATAGTGTGTAAACAAAGGGAGATAACTGGATACCTGACATTATTTACAATTAAACTAAACTAACCTAATTAACGTTTTTTACTGAGTGATGGTTGTAGAAATGTAGCCCTGTTTTTGTAAACAAAATGTAAATTGGTCAGAATTTTCTTTATTCATATATTCAGTTGAAGTAGGATTTGTTTACAGTGTCAGAAAACCTCACAGGAATATGTTCTAGTGAATGTAAATATAATAATAATAATGCTAATTCTATCACCAATTTTTGCAACGCAATGCTGTTCTCTTGCGTTACATTATTACCCTGACGGAATTGTACTTTCAAAGCAGCTACTAAGCACTTTGCACGACCATATAGGTCCGTACATCTGCTTCTCAGGCACCCACTTTAAACGGCTGGGTGGACTGAGTGCAATGTGGACGAAATGCCTTGCCCAGGGACACAGTATGAGGCTCAGGTCAGAAATTTTTGGTGTCTCAACCAAGATTCAAACCCGGGCCTTTGGCATGAGAGCCCAGCATGCTAACCACTACACCACTGTGATCCAAATATCCGTTGTAAGATGTTACAATATTTCCAAACTGTTCAGGAGACCGCAGTCATCAATTTCATCTGCATTGTTGGGTTCAAATCCTGGTTCTCCCTGATTTCATTTCTCGGTTTGTCACCTATAGCACATTAGGCATGCTTGTAATTTTCACCAAAGAAATAGTGATGCAGTGAAACAACTGGAATATTGGTCAAAGCGGTGTAAACCGAACAAACCCTGAAATGTTCATGTGTTTATGTTAGATGTTTGTTTTGCAGTTATACTTGGGTCCAAATTTGAGTTATGAGGTGAAGGGTCTCACACCAGCAACACTGTATTCCTTCAGGGTTCAGGTGAGTTGCTGTGCATCTCACAGTGATTATCTGTGATTGTATTATAGAATTATATTAATGCATGTGAGAGTACTGTCGCCATACAGCTGAAATATTGCTGAGTGCGGCGTTAAACAACAAACAAACAATAACCAAGTTATCTGATTGGCTTATCTGTCGCTTTCTGATTGGCTGAGTGCTCTTCTATTATTTTCAATGTACCCCGCTTACAAGCGAGTAACATTTCAATGTACCCCACTGTCAATGGCAACTCATTTGGAACTTTGTGGTGGTAACACTTTATCTCGAATAACATTAAATCACGTATGATGTACGGAAATTACTGATGTTTTGCGAATGCAAATTGATGGAAGGGAAATAACTCTAAATCTGTTTTTCTTGTCCGCAAAATCTAGCGATGGCTACAAAAAGATTTGTACCCATGCTTCAAACAATTCAAAATTAAGATAAATATAGTAAGATAAATACGTTGTTCACTGGTCCCTCGGGGCCCATGGGTTGATGTACCGAGGGGAACATAAGCAAACATCGAGGGTACATCAACCCATGCCCCCCTCGTGACCAGTGAACAACTTATAATGCCACCTGTTAGCATACTCATGATGTAGTTTTGGAATATTGTTTCTCCAGGCAATCAACAGTGCTGGTTCCGGCCTCTACTCGTCCTCGTCCTCCTGCGTCACACCTCCGTCTAGTCCAGCGTCCATTGTTGCAATCAAACCTTACATCACAGCCACGTCTATCATGCTGATGTGGAGGGAGCCCCATAATAACGGCAGTGACATCATCTCATACAACATTGACATTGGTGAAAAACAGCTCCTCTCCATCGAGCCCGTCACAGAATACACAGTTGAAGACCTCCTGCCAGAGACCACATACAGGTGGGTTACACATACCACTGTCATATACGTGCACGTGAGGTCTACTTGTGAAGACCTGGGTTAGAATTGATCTTTAGCAACCCATGCTTGTCAGGCTCGCTGACTTGGTTGACACTTGTCATTATATCCCAATTGCACAGATGAATGCTCTTGATCACTGGATTGTCAGATCCAGACTCGATTATTTACAGACCACTTCCATATAGGTGAAATATTGCTGTTTGCGGGGAAAAACTAAACTTACTCGCCTTACTGCCATGTGCCAGGCAGGGTATCATCAAGCACCATCTTTGTGGTCTGACAAGGCTGGGGATACAACCAGCATCGATCTCAGATAAACAACATACAACAAATAGAACATAGCTACTGCACAGATTTGTCTTTACCACATCATACTTGGATGTCCTATTTTCATAACAAAGATAATTTCATCTGGGTTGTTCACAAATGTTTCAGTGTTTACAAATGTTTCGACCACCTCCGTGGTGTAGTGGTTAGAGCGTCCGCTAGGAGAGCGGAAGGTCGCAGGTTCGACCCCCGACCGCGTCATACCAAAAGACGTTAAAATATGGTACTTGTTGGTCACTGCCTGGCGCTCGGCATTTATGGGTACATCAAGGACTGGTCGGCTCGGAGTCAGTATAACGTGTCTGAGAGGGGTATTCATGCTTCACTGCGGCATGGTATCTCAGTGGGCTAGCACTATAAAACCAGCTTCAGTCTGGGCTAGTACAAGCAGCGCACATACACATACACACGCATGCACGTCGTCATATGAATGAAATATTCTCAAGAACTACATTAAACCCAATTTCACCTCACCTCACCTCACAAATGTTTCACATACCTATAGGATATCCATGTTTATTCCTGAAATTCAGTTCACAGTACATGTTGATCAATATTTCAGAATCCGCATTCAGGCCGTCAACAGCATTGGTGTCGGAACTTTCAGCACCCCGGTTAAAGTAACAACTAAAGCTTTGCCTCCAAATCCTCCAAAGATTGAGTGTGTCAATGTGGCCCCCAACAGCCTGAAGCTGAAGTGGGGTGATGGTCGAAACCCAGATATGATCACTTATCATCTGGAGATGGAGAAGGACGATGGAAGGTTTGTAGATCATCAGGGATACGTTGATAGGTTATGATACACCAGCCTGACACAACTGAAAGCTGGACATGATCAGAGGACCGCTAGTTTTCTCCTGTAGTTATTTTGGAGTGGTAGTAACGGGTCCTGAATATCTACATGTGTGGTGTGACACATTTTGTACCACCATAAAACAAAAATGGATGGACACAGTATGTCTACACTCTACTATATTTAACCTGACAGTAATGTGGACACTGGTCATTGTCGTGATAAATAACCACTGTCAACATCGTCAAGACATATCCAAGTATTTATCTGAATATATAGAACACTACATCAACTGTTGAGATGGTACTGTAATCATCACCTGATGTTTATATTCGTTATCCAATATTCATGATATGTGGACATATTCACCTCTTAGTAAATTTGGGGGCGGTGGGGTAGCCTTGTGGTTAAAGCGTTGGCTCGTCATGCCGAAGATCCTGGGTTCGAATCCCCACAGGGGTACAATGTGTGAAGCCCATTTCTGGTGTCCCCCGCCGTCATGTTGCTGGAATATTGCTAAAAGCGGCGTAAAACCAATCTCAGTCAGTCAGTCTTAGTAAATTTGGGGAGATGGGGTAGTAGATAAAGCGTTTGCTCGTCACGCTGAAGACCCAGATCAATGTACAATGTGTGAAGCCCGTTTCTGGTGTCCCCCACTGTGATATTGCTGGGATATTGCTAAACGCGGCATAAAACTAGACTCACTCATTCACTCATTGTAACTTCTTTGCAGCCCTATAATATGCAGGTGTTTTTTCATCGTGTTTATGCCATATTGGGTCATACATTGTGAAGTGTGTTGGTATTTTTCAGTTTTCAGACAGTGTACAGTGGACCTGCTCACAATCACAAAGTGAATCGCCTGACTGAGCTGACAAGCTACGAGTTCCGCATCTACGCGTGCAATGAAGCTGGCCAGGGTCCGTACTCGGACACTTACACGTTCTCCACCACAAAAGCACCCCCGCCTGCAATGCAAAGTAAGATAATGAATGCTGTATATGGTACAGTGTAATTCTTATTCGTTATATCAAAAGGAGGTTGGTAACATTACGAAAGTAATTTTATAATGTATTAGCCAGTATTTTTTATGTGATCAACTAGTTTGATAAATAGAGAATACTAAACGATGTCCCGTGTAATACCATATTTATGAAACGAGTGAATGGTTTGGTATCTAACGAGCGAAAGTGAGTTAGATACCAATACCATTCACGAGTTTAATAAATATGGTATTACACGGGGCATAGTTTAGTATTTTATTTATTACTCACCCAACATCAGCAAAATAATATCGAGCAAAGTAATTCTTTCCTAAGAATTCAACGAGTGTGATGACTCTCAGCTTTCTGCGAGTCAAGCAAGGTCTAATACTATTGTGACAGAGGTATTAGCATTGCGATGTCATAACTGTAAACCACTTTGACGTCATACGTACGACATCACGCGATGTTATTACACAATGTGAAGTAACATTGTAAAATTATTAAACAGTGATATCTTCAACGGGTGAGTAATAAACTTGGTATGCTAATATACATACATGTGAGGTCTTCCCATGAAGATCTGGGTGAGAATTGATCTTCAGCAACAATTGCTTGTTGTAACGGGATCGGGTGGTCAGCCTCGCTGATTTGGTGAACACATGTCATCGTGTCCCAACTTAGATTTATTCTCATTCTTAGTATTGATCAGACTCAGTTATTTACAGACTGCTGTAATATGGCTGGAAATGTGCTGAGTGCAAGAAGCAAGTGAAGTTATCTTGCAGGAATTCTTTCAGGCTCTGTTCATTGGTACAATACCCTTTTTTCTCAAACATGGCTGCTAGTCATTAGGCACTTATTTTAGTGTTTTATAAAATCCATTGTGCCAACAAAATGGTGTATTTTGTAGGGCTGCAACGAATACTAGTACACTATTTGGCGAATATGATACGTATCGCGAATATTGGGTAACGAATACAAATAATTATGCATGAATACAATATTGTAGTTAAGTGATTGATGCACAAAGTGGAACGCCCATGTTGATTGTGTTAATTTGTCACAGCTATAACCAGTGATCTCATGACACTCAAATTTGGTATGTAATAGTTAGTCAACAGTACCATGTGCGACCTTCAGGCAAACTAACAAAACGTGCACTACTACAAGCCTAGTACATATTCCATTCTTGCATATCTCACTTTGAAAAAGGACATAATGGTTCAAGTAAAACTCTCCCTTAAAAAAATCGTAAATATTCATTAATATTCGGTTCTGGTGACCACGAATAACGAATTGAATTCATGAAGGGCTACGGTTCGATTCACCGAATATGCGAGTGAATCGTAACAGCCTTAGTATTTTGCTGAATTTTTAATTGATATAAGAGTCTGGCCTTTATTACATTGGGGTGTGGTAGCCTAGTGGTTAAAGCGTTCACTTGTCAAGCTGAAGATTCAGGTTTGATTCCCCTTCAGTGTGTTAAGCACATTTCGGGTGTCCACCACCATGATATTGCGGGAATATTGATAATACATAACATATAGAAACCCAGCCCACTCACTCACTCACTATATTACATGTTCCGAAGCTGGCTTCCTGCAGTATTTTTTTTACTGTGATTATATGAATGTTGTTTGCTGTTTGTAGCACCGTCAGTGAGCAAGTTGAGCCTGACTAGCTGTGTTGTGGAGTGGCAGAGTTGCCGACAGATGGGCAGTGACACCATCGTGTATCTCCTGCAGGTACAGAGGGTGGACAGCCACGACCATGAGTACAAACAGGTAAGGATGGGGACAGTGTGGTATGGTGGTCAAACAATCCCTCGGTCTTGATATGATCGAGAAGCTTGGTGTCAGTTTCTTAAATGTTTCGATATTAATATTCAGTTAAACTGTTAAACACAACAATTTTAGAAATCACCTTTCAGCTATGCTTCCATATTTAAAGATATACAATATTGCATCAAATAAGCAGACAATTTTGCTGCTTATAATGGCCTCTGATTGGTATGTTCCATGGAAACATATTGAGAGCCATTGTGCAAGGGAGATAACTCTCCATGTTTGGAGTCACTTCCAGACAATGTTTCTGTATGGGTTCATCAAAGTGAAACACATCAGGCTGTGGTATTATTCAGACAGGGTTAATACATCTAGGTATCACTCCGCGCGTGGGCGGATCACGCAACTGACCTAGATCATACATTTCTCCACATGATGTCATGAATCAAGTCCCACTTTCACAAATTACCATAGGCAAAATAATGACACCATTCTAATGAAATTCATTCATAATTTAATACATACAAACTTGCATGAAGGAATGAACAAGTGCCAGAAAATCCTGGAAAGTGCCGAGCTTTGGAGAAAGTAGAACCAGCAGGGATTAAATGCGGAATCTGGGGCGCAATAAAGATTTTGACCACGTTATCTGTATTGCATCTCTGTATTACTATCCTAAGTTTACATGGGTTTATAATAAATCTCTCATACAGGTTACATACATATGTCACCACATGAACTATAGACATGGTGTTAAGTATTTTGTACACTGGAGCAAAGTTTGAAATAATATTGGTTTCCGGTGTCTTTTATGCTTGCCCCTATATGATTGAAATTTAGATACTCCTTTGATATTTTGGGGCAATGACAAGGACCCCTGAGTTTAATAGGGATTTATCTAGGAGTTGAAATGAAACTAAAGCCCTTTAAATCAAAATTGGATTTTAGAAATTTCTGAAATTCTCAAGTATTTTCACATTGCATGAAACATGTTAAAAACATCAACATCTTATTTGGGCTTATCTGAGAAATCTAATGCCTCTTCTTCTTAAATGACTTTGTTATCTCGGAAATCCAGGTCACCCATATATACCTATACTGTTTGTTGTATCTTCATGACATGAATTGAGAAGGTCTTTATTCAAATTTCAGATATTTTCTGACATTTGATGCAGCCGCACTGCTGAATATTGGGCTGAGCATGTCGAAATACATCTTTTTGATGCTTGATAACTTGTACTGCACAATGAGTAAATGTATATTGTCAGAAATGGTAAATGTGAGATTTTGTTTCAGGTTTACCGGGGACCAAACACGCAGTTCATGCTAGAAAATTTGCAGCCAAAATCGGATTACCATGTGCGTGTGTGTGCTATTCGACAATGTGACAGTGGACTTGGAGACATAATGGGTGCATATAGTCAAGGCAGGGGCTTCTCCACACTGAGCCCTCAGCCCACCAAACAGGCCACAACTAGAGTCGAGAACAACAGCAAACTAGCCGAGCCAAAGCCACTAACTGACCAGCAATGGGCAACCATTATTTTTGTAGGCTTTGTGATCGTAGCCTTCGTCATTGCCTTCGTGACACAACAAGTGATAAACATGAGGCATTCGAGCCGTTGATGCTTGTTGTGAATCACAAGAAGAGGCGATTGTAAATGTATGAGAGGATCCCAAAGGAACAGCCAAGGACAGGCATCCTAGGAAACCCTAAGACCCGACTGTTTCACAGAAGTTCATCACAGTTCACTGAAAAGAATTTGCTTCAAGTTTAGTGCTAACAGAGTACAGAAAGTCGGAAGAGTAAATTCATGTTGTTTTCCACAAGTGGTCGAAAGAAAAGGTATCACTACTGATGCCATGACACTCACAAGATGAAGATAATCATATGATCATGCCACTTATAATACCTGTTGCATAACTTACAACATTACAGGCAGATTGCTTAGATTTGAGATGTGCTCCTAGAATGAAGGGTCCAAAATTTGCGTGTCAAGTGACACTGCTTGCTCTGACAGAACTGAGAGGTGAAATGACGATTGTGGAAAGAAATACTGTGTATAATATCATGGGTTGTTGTCCCTTAATGCCAGCTGCTCAAGTGCTTAAACTCAAGTCCAAAAAGCATCACAACAGTGGTAGCATTTGGACTGCTGTAGCATGAACAGCCTAATCTTGAGGACAAATTGTTTCAAGACGTTGTCGTTCGGTCATTCAATGTTGTTAATTTTTGACTGTATGTCGGCTGACTTGTGACATTTGCTGGTCTGAAACTTCGACCTGAAGCTGCTTTGCATACCTGGGGAAAGAGGAATTTCTTCCATGACATTGAAGATGTTATTGATGACAGTGAATCCTCAGTGGTGAACTGCTATTCTAATTGTTTTTGTTGTTGAGAACTGCATGGTGTTAAACCGATCTGCATTTACATTTCATCAAAAGTTACACATGAGGTAGAATGGATTTTTATGTACATAATTAGAGATGCCAAGATAATTTTAGCCAATTCCTGTTTCCATCTGCTTGTATTGTGTGATGGGGGGTATCTTTCCTACACATGTGTGTACCATGTATATTATCCAAACAAGTAATTTTATTTTTGACCTACTCACTTGTTAGAGAGATGATGTGTTCACAAGCTAGTCATTCTAATATTCTTGTTATATGGTGGTCCGAGCCCCAAAATATGGCTGCCGTTATTGTACAGATCGACAAATACTTATTTTCATTCTAAACTATAATTGTATGTATGTACGTACGTATGTTAAGTGTGTATGTGTATCAGCGAGACTCATCGGTCTAATTGCTTAATTCACAAGAAAAAAAATCTGTCAAAAACATCTCAATGTTCTCACAATTTTGCAAAGCATTGGATGTGTTCAAATGGTGCTGTACTATTTCTGTAGCTGAAAATACAAATCATACTTTACGATGAAGGCTCTGAACTCGGGTGAGTAGGCATTGGATCGTTGACCGGTGGTGGACAGGTCAAGCAGACGCAGGTCACCCATGACCTTGAAGGCAAGGTCATCCACCAGGTCAACAAAGACATGGGTAAAAGCTCTGCTTGCACTGTTCAGTCAGGCATTGTGTAGCTAAATCAAGTGACACAGTTGATATTTTATGCTTAATATCTGTGGGTATAAAGTCTGTGTCTCCACTAGGCTCTTGTTTTATTTTAATGTAGACTTGTATAGCTTTATTGGTATTTTCCTTGTTGAATTTTAATAATGCAAACTGCTTAAACCAGATCCCTTCGTCAGCATGACAGCTGGTTAACAATGAAACATGCACCATTCTACTTTCCCAGGGAAGGTTGATTGGAAGGTGCATGTGGCATCTTGTTAACAAATATTACTGTTGTCTGACAGGAACTGTTACCATGGTGATCTGGCATGTGATCCATCATCAACGGAAGGGTTCAATATGTCATGGAAGAATCTACTTATTCAGCTTAACAAAGTCCAGGGTTTCTATTGCAAGGTTTCCTCTTCAGTCAGCGGTTAGTGAGGTGCGGATTTATGACTTAAAACTCACCAGTCAGTTTCATTAGGGACCAAGGATTATATATACACAGCAGGAAATTGTCCACATTTTGTTTTGTATTTTTTTCATGTTAGTGTCATTCCTGTAAAGTCATGTAAAGAAATGGAATGAATTGTGTTTCTCGCCTGAATGTGATTAAATGTGAGAACACAAATAATATGAAAAAATTACAAATGAATCATTGCTATGAACCTTGACTGAAGAGGTAGGCTTACGGAAATCTTATTTCCTCAAGTGGGAGTACAGGAATTTGTAGACATTTCAAACCGGTATGCCATCTCCTAGACTGATGTTTTAACGGATGAATCTCTTTTAACAATGCAGCAATTGTGTTAAATTATTGTGATATTGTGTTGTAAATTATCAGTTCATAGTGTCATCTCATGCTTACCTTAGGGCATGGCTACTGTACATAATCACTGATATTATTTTTTATCATTAAACACATGGTGATACATTCTCATAGTAAGTTTTTGTTAACTCTCCTGCTCTATATTTCCATACTCTTTGACTATTTGTTATGTACTTACGTTAGTCTTTTGCATGCCTTGCCATTGTAGTGATATCACATTTGCTGATATTTTCATTGTTGAACTATGTCTTTAATGCAAGGAAGAGCAAAGGTACTTATTTAGGATGTTAATCAAAGATATCTCTCCCTTTATTGTGACCAAAGAAGAAAGGCACTGACCAAACCCATGAGATGTGATTGAGGAAACTGATTTACCAGATCAGAATCTAGTCATGAAATTGTCAAAATACTAATCTTCCCATCCTAGTGTACATTCAAATCTGGAATGTTCAAATAAGCTGCTTAAGTGAACTATCAGGTTCGCTGGTATATATTTCCTTGCAGTTGAAGGCTTATGTGTATTATCATTTTGTAAATGCCATATATATTGTATTTTTACCTGCATCTTAAGCAATTTGTTCATTTAACAGTCTTAAAGTGAGAATTGTATTTACTTTGATATTGTTAGTTTGTTTAGATTATGAAGAATAAACATTTCAGATGCACACATCAATGCACACATGGTGATTTCTGCTAATCTTGATTGCCTCATTACCATGACCCGTCACAGAATTTCTCCATGTTCGACATAGATTCTGAAAAAAGGACTATTTTCAAATGATCAGTAATGACATTCATAGTACAATATCCTATGAGAAACACTCTTTTGTAGATGACTTGTCAGAATAGAATGCTTTGGGTGCCATCCAAAAATCTGAGTTCTGCACAGTGGTGGAACATTGAAGGTTTTTGGGAGTTCTGGCCCTTGATCAGAAGGAAGGCAATACTGCACAGTACTGGCATCAGTCGGTAACCTTGACAACAAGCCCATGTTCTAATATTGGTTGACTCGTAAACTTTCCATATAGTTCTGATTTTAAAAGGACTCTTTTGAAAAATTTCCTACAGAATGAAAAGACTCTTTTGATGATCGTTCATACAGAATAGCGGGTAGAAGGTTTTGGTCACTTAGAAATATGGGAAAACTTGCCTGATTCAAGTGATCATATATGTGTACATGTAACACTGCATTAGTCCTTAGTCTCATCAATGGCTGTGGTTACCTGAACAAAATGGCAAGCATCGTTTCCATCCCATTGCTATGGGCATTAGTATTCCTTGTTTTTTTATGTTTCATTTTTAATTCTAACATTTCCACAATTTTACCCGAATGCACAAAACTGACTCTCCCATTTTGCAGCAGTTAAGAAATTGTTGAGGAGACCATTAAAATGCAGAAAATTGTGGAAATGTTTTGTACAAAGGACCAGTTTTATGTACTCCATTTAAGGTGTAGGCAAGCAACTTGGTGCTACTTTGCACCCAAATAGTCTCTTTGTTTGTGCAATCCTCTTCCTCATCACCAGTTTCTTCCCCTGAAGCCAAACCCTTATGGTTTGCAAATGAGAATTCACTGTTGCTGGTATGAACTAGTATGTTGTGTTAAGCCAGGGGATGGCATACCATTGAGTTTTAAATTACCCATTGTATATACAGTTAAAAGGGTTTGCTCGTTGATAATTTTAGTGGATTTTACCCTGCAAAGTGACTGTGGTTATTCTGATCTAAAATGTATTGCTCAGTATGTAACACCAATAAAAACTTCCCTGAAATGTGGTAGAATATGTTTGGGCTATTGTCATAGTGATGATTGTCAGAAGCTTGTGCGGATACATATTACAGGTAGATTTACTTCACATTTCTGTTAGCATTGCATAAGCTGCTTAAGGAATGATATCAGTGTTTTGCAGGGTAAACTGCTGTTTGGGCCAAAATGAATTGCAATTCAGTGACTCCATTTGGTTACAATTTCATTTACACTATTTTGAGAACTCCTAAATGCAATTGTGTAACTTATGGTATAAACTATTGAACTGTCAATTAACAATGTAGTCCTCAAAATAGTCACTATATTTATTCTGTGATGTTGGGTCATAAGTAAATATATATATTCTATCAATAAAAAAGAAGAAAGTTGTATGTTGTTGATTTGGTTTTTTTGCAAAGCTGTTTAGTGATGGGGAAAACTACCAAGACGTTCTTGACAATGTCGGCATACATTCATCATATGATGACCCCTTAAGATCCCGGTAAAACTGGTCTTCAGCAACCCATGCTTGTAATAATCGATGAAACCCATCTGCGGTGTTAAACAACAAACCAAAACAAATCATCATATGCTGCCTTAGCTCAGCCATACCCCCAATATTTGATCACTCAGTGGAACAACTGAACATAACATGATAAATTCTCGCGCCTAATTTAAAGAGGAGGATGTGTAAGAATCCTCTTTTCCCAGAGTGAGTGAGTTTGGTTTTACGCTGCTTTTAGCAATATTCCAGCAATATCACGGCGGGGGACACCAGAAATGGGCTTAACACATTGTACCCATGTGGGGAATCGAACCCGGGTCTTCGGCGTGACGAGCGAACGCCTGAACCACTAGGCTACCCCACCGCCCCTCTTTTCCCAGAAACGACACCCTTAGGTGAAGTTTTCATGTTTGTAAATGCAGATTTGAAATTACAGCTTCCTCTAGTTAGGGTTGGGGATATTACCGTTGCCAGCAAATACGTTTTGGATATTGGGGCTTGTCACGCCGAAGACCCGGGTTTGATTCCCCACATGGGTACAATGTGTGAAGCCCATTTCTGGTGTCCCCAGCCGTAAAACAGCGGCGTAAAACCATACTCAGTCAGTCAGTCTTTTGATGATATCCCGCTTGAGACTCGTAACTTGACTAGAGTCGACTAAGTGAGTCTCTCCACGTAACCGTATGCATGCATGATGACTGGATTGCCTCGCAATTTACTTGCCTACAATGTCAATAGCTTTCAGCTCCGACCAGATCGCAAGCTGTATCTACTCAGACTAAGACATGTCTCATGTCACATCACATTACGGCCCCTACTATGTGAAATGATAAAATTGGAACAAAATCATTGAAGAAGCGTACCAAACATCTTGGCATTTGCATTTAGGTACGATCTCTGTGATGCAATGGCAACAGGTACAAGTATTCTGGAAAATAGTCTCACAACGTCAGGTGTGCAGTTTCTGTTGTACGTCAGTTGAGGTATCCTCAAACCTGAAATCAAATGACGTCAATTGAACAAGTCCTTAGCACCCACCCATCAAACCCATCTGCTTGTTCCGGAAGTTGGCCGACACTTTCGTAAATATACAAGAACATGACCCAGTCATCCTTACAGCACCCGTGTGTCTAGTTCACCATAGAAACAGAGAAAAGTGGCCAGCTTCCCTTTATACATGCCCTCGTAACCAGGACCCCACCCAACGAGATCCGAACCAGTATCTTCAGGACTTATAGATACATTTGAAATCCAAACACTCCTTGAGAACCATAACTAGCATCATCTCCACCCTCACCAGACGAGCCATCAATCTCACCTCTACCACCCCTACCGCAGAAATCCATGTTTCTCTCAGTTCAGCCAGTGCTCACCTCAGCTATTTGACAAAATGATCAGTACCACCCTTCACCCAGTAAGTAAACCGGCAAGGAAAAAACCCGAACCAGCATTGATTCGAATCTCTCTCACCTTCGGAAATACATTCCACCACAATCCGGCATCAAAACCCACTTCACCAGCTCTACGTACACGTCTTAAAGCCTTACTCAAAACCATTGGCAGGAACACCCCCAAACAACAAGAACCCCATAAGTATTGTCCAGGAAATCAGCTGTGGCTGTGATGAGATCAACACAGGCGAAACTTTCCGTCCCATTAACGTCCGAATCAAAGAACACTCAACATCTACCAGCAAATCAGCCATTTGAAATCACATCATCAACTGCCCCAAACACAACAAGTAGGCACTCATTGCAATGAAGAAGTTGACTATCCATAGAACTTGGTTTTCCTTCATATTTACAACTTCTAAAATGCCTCTGAAAGAAGTGGGACAAAATGGACATAGTGTCAAAATACCTATAAACCTATACTTACTCAACATTTCCGATCTCACCAGAAACTATGGTCACCATGACAACACCAAGAATTTGATTGTCACGCCGTCTCGAATAATGATTGTTGTGATTGTATGTACCACCTCTGGCGACCACATCAGTACCTGCTGAATCCACCCCCTCGCACGGATACCTGCTGCAGTCTCTTCCTCATACTGGCTCTTATCAGGCGTCGAATTCTCAGCATCGGAATCACCAGGAATTCCTTATTGAGTGAGCGAGTGAGTGAGTTTAGTCTTACGCCTTTTAGCAATATTCCAGCAGTATCACGACGGGGGACACCAGAAATGGGCTTCACCCTTATGGAGCGCATGCGTCATCCGTCATCCTCAAGGTTTTTGATCTCTTGCTCGAACTTTGAGTCCAAGATAGTCTAATTGATGTTCACTAGGGTTCATATAGGAGCTCCATGGGGCCCATGTTAACGTTTCGATGGGCGAATGAGCGATGACAGGACGGTGAGGTGTAGCGTTGTTCTCCATGAATATCGGGCGACTGGCAAGAGGATGGTTATCAAATTGTGAAACGAAGGCGGCATTCAGTACTTTCGGTTGATAACGTTGATATCTGAGTGTCCCAATTACGGTAATGAGATCCAACTTGCAGTCATACGAAACGCAACCCCACATGTCTCGTTACGACATCTCCATTCGCGACCACTGCCGTCGGTAACGTGTGGAATTAGAGACTTTTATCAGACCAATGAAACCTATACCACGTCATCCAGTTGTGGTTTTCTGGGAGCCTGCTCCACGACAGACGTTCCTGTCTGTGCCTGCCGGTGAGGAAGGGGCATCTGGTCGTACGACTTCCCTCAGACCAGTCCCGCTCTAGGTTCCACTATACTATCACATGTTCCCTGAGCGAGAACCCTGTGGAAACAACTGAAGAGACAGAGACATGTGACAGCTGTGATTGGATGAAATAGTGTAAGATGTTTATGTTTTTTAATAGCACATCCATCCAGTAATTAATACTGACCACAATTTTAAGTATTTAGTGCTGTCATATTTATCTCCATGACTTATGGTTATTGTGTGTATATATATTTCAAGTAGGTGACATTTGGTGCGGAACTGGGGTTGATGTGTTCAGCTTCTGTGCTCGGAAAGTTAGCCGGGCAAGTTGGCCAGAAATTGTGTTTTATGGTAGTATAAAGGCCAGAGTGTACCCATGTGTACATGTAATGACTGTTGATAGCCTGGATAATTTTTTAAAAAAAAGAAGGTTACTATAGAAGTCTATGGGAAAACATTTGATGCTGTGTAACCTATAGGGGCGGTTGGGTAGCCTAAGGGTTAAAGCGTTGGCTCGTCACGCCGAAGATCCGGGTTCGAATCCCCACATGGGTACAATGTGTGAAGCCCATTTCTGGTGTCCCCCGCCGTGATGTTGCTGGAATATTGCTAAAAGCGGCGTAAAACCAAACTCAGTCAGTGTGTAACCTCTAAATTGCCGGCGCAGACAATCCAGTAGCTTACGGAAGGGACATAGCTCTTAATTTATCTCCCTTAGACCAGTTAAAGGCATTGATCTTCGTCACCCTCACAACATATGGCGACTGTCCAGTTAATGTTTCAAGGTTTATTTTGACGCCTCGAATTTACTCTGAATTTAATTATTGCCACTCTGAAGACTATGAACTCCACTTATTATGTAATGTGTTTGATTCCGTGATTAGATTGGTCTCAGGGCGACGAGGATCGGACGTCAGGCTTGCTGACTTGGTTGATACATGCCATGATTGCGTAGATTGATGGTGATCACTGGATTGTCTGGTCGAGACATAATTAGTTATAGACCGCCGTTATAATACTGAGCGTTAAACAACAATCAAACAAAACTTGACAGAGACTCCTATACGATAGTTTAGCCTATCATAGGACAGCATAGGGAAATGGACAAATTGTTAACAGGCGACCATTGCATACATAGTTTACATAAGTGTTTCAGTCTGTTCTCCAAAGACGAGGGGTGTTGGGATAGCGTAGTGGTAAAAGTGTTCGCTCGTAACACCGATAACCCGGGTTCAGTTCCACACATGGGTACAAAGTGTGAAGGCCATTTCGGGTAAACCCCGTCGTGATACCGCTTGAATATTGATAAACGCGGCGTAAAACTAAACTCACTCACCCCAAAGACGAACATTTCTTCATGCGCCACAGAAAATATAGATTAATGCATATTGTAACTGCATCAGCGTTTTTGTATCCATGTCACATGTCTATTGGAATCTAACAGCCTTTTGTATGGCGTGTTTATTATTCATATACCAGACATTACCTGAATGTCGCAATGCAGAGAAAGTTTTCTCGAAATAGTGAGAATCTCTCAGACTGTTGCATATCCGAGTTCATGACCATATTTGCTCTTTTAGATGTTGCTTTTGGAAACTGTAGCATTGCATTCTAGAATAAACGTCTTGAAACTGTAGCATTGCATTCTAGAATAAATGTCTTGAAACTGTAGCATTGCATTCTAGAATAAACGTCTTGAACTGTAACATTGCATTCTAGCATAAACGTCTTGAAACTGTAGCATTGCATTCTAGAATAAACGTCTTGAAACTGTAACATTGCATTCTAGAATAAATGTCTTGAAACTGTAACATTGCATTACATTTGCATTCTAGAATAAATGTCTTTAATCTGTTGCATTGCATTCTAGAATAAATGTTTTTAATCTATTGCATTGCATTCTAGAATAAATGTCTTGAAACTGTAGCATTGCATTCTAGAATAAAGCATCTCTTTGAAACTGCAGCATTGCATTCTAGAATAAACGTCTTGAATCTGTAGCATTGCATTCCTAGAATAAACGTCTTGAAACTGATAGCATGCCTTCTAAGCATAGAAACGTCTTGAATCATGTAGCATTGCATTCTAGAATAAACGTCTTGAAACTGTAGCATTGCATTCTAGAATAAAACGTCTTGTGAAACTGTAGCATTGCTATCTTGAATAAACGTCTTGAAACTGTAGCATTG